TGTCCTCTCTAGCCGAAGTTTGAAAATAAGAGAAGAAAAAATTGGAATGTTCAGGCTGAAGGGGTCGGTCACCGCAGCCCGAGAGTCTTGGTCGCCGCAAGAGCTGCGGCGGGTCGCAGGAAAAACAACAAGAGGAACATCGGATAACGAGGAAGAAGAGAGCCGCCGGATTGGGTCTCATAAAATATTTATTCGCGGAAAGGTGATGTATGTAGTTTCCTGGCCGACTTTCCGTCGATCGAACGCCCGTATCAGTTTCCAGTGTCCTTATCCCTTTTCTCTTCGCCTCTCGCCGCTGTACAGCGCGGGCCGCGCCTTGTTCATTTTTCCGGACACGTACTGGTCCGTGAGGTCGGGCATGTGAACCCCGGTGTCGTTTGCAGAAGAACCGGCGGCGGGGCTCGCCGGTCGCCGCGATCCTCGCGTGTGATTTCAAATGCTCACGTCGGACACACCTTCGTATCGGACGTGGCAGGGTACGTTCGCGTAGTAATACGTTACGGGAGCGTACACATGCATTTATACCGAGGGACCCGTTTCCACGGGTTTACGATACACGTACCGTTGTCCACTCCCGTCGCGAGGAACGACGGGTTACCGTATCTTCTTCCACGTCGCTTCAGAAATTCTGATGTCTTTAACGTGCTAGTCCGCGGATTGCGAACTATTCGTGTCTCTTCTGCGTTTCGAATTATTCATTCGGCACTGGGCGCACTCTGGGGTATTAAGCTCGGGAAATTACTGTTTGAGACTGAATTGTTCCTTGGCAACTGTTTGAGTAGGAGACTTTGCGAAGTGAAGCAATATTATGTATTTTCTGTTTTATACTTATTCGGTATAGTGTTATTATCGTTTGATATATATATATATATATATATATATATTTAGACTGTAGACTTTTACAAAGATTCAGAAATGAAGCTCTGCGTTTATTTGATCCTCGTCCGAGATTAAAGAAACATTGCCCGACCTCGTCTAGATAAGTACAACGACGAAGATATTAATTATAGGGGCACATTTTTCATACTTACACAACTCGGACAGTTTAAAAGAAAACGACGAACCCGTTGGACCCGTACTCATAACCCACTCCAGCCTGAACTTCGGTCATTCAAAAACGGGAGGAAGATCTAAGAAGCGTCCCAGGGGTAGGCAAACGAAGAGTCCTCGGGGGTTTACCGAGAACCGTTTCTCGTGGTCGCGGCTCCGCCGAGACGTCCCGTCCGCCTTTCTCCTCTCTTCTTCTTCCCTTTTTATTTTTACCGCGCCTAAGGCCACGTGTACTCGGCTCAGCGACAACACTCGGTGGTCAACTCGTTTCCGCGCTTTGCGGGAACGACCGGATTCACCGGAAGGCAGGCGACTCGACTCGACGCGACGCGACGCGACGCCTCGGCGAAGGTTGGGACACCGTCGCTTTCGTGTCCCGTGAAATATTAAAGGGTTGTCGGCGAGTGGAACGTCCCCGAAACAGATCGCGCCGGCGACGCCGCGATATCTATGGACGTTTCAAACGGGCGAATCGGGGAACGTCTTCTCGCTTCTGGAATAAATGATTCCTCGAGCTTCGTCTAATCTTGGCTCTTTCGCCGCTGACAACCGCGCCGTGAACGATATCGGGCTCGATATCGAAGGGAAAGTACGAGGTAACGGGAATTTTATCGATGGATTGTTCGTCACGTTCAACGTCCCCTGGGCGTGGCCTCTGTCTAACCGTGCCGGGTCAATTTAGGTGTATATTATCGAGAATTATACTGCGCGATAAATGTGAATTCGAATCTGCTAATTGTCGGTTATCGAGAGTACGTATGTGAAATATATTATATCGGGTAATGTCGTTTTTCCTATGCTAGCTTTTCGTGTAAACCATGAATTACTTGTTTGGTATATATTACATTGGCCGTCGTTACGTATGATCAATTATTGTTCGATTATTTTTTAATGCCTTTTTTGAAATGACATTGCTTATGGGATGATCTAATGTATCGAATGTTATCGTATTGTGTATGTTTTGCGTTTGTACTTTGTATGATTTATTTCCACTCCTTCGCTCACTTATGACCTTTTACAGGAAGAAACTTTAAGAGTTCGGAATTCTTATTGTTATGAGCAAAAGGGTTATATAAATGATAAGTACCCTGTTTGGTGACTGTACTAGAAATGGAATAGGAAATTATTCAATCTTGAGGTTAAAGTCCTTGCACCGTGGCTTTGAGGAATTTCTTTTGTGATGCTTTTCTTTGCGGTCCTTTTATTCTATGGAAATTCAAAGGCAACACGACGACGGGTTTAATGATAATATTTGCTGTAGCTTGCGCGTTGCGCGGTCTGCTCCATTTTTTATACGTATGCACGTGTTAGTTACTGATACTTGGCGCGTGGAGCTTGGCTGGCACGGTAAGTGCTGCGTTTGCTTAATTTTCATCTCTTCTTTTTATCAATTTGACACGTTTTTCTCGCAAAAAGATTTTATTATGCGTTTTACGCGAGTATACCCCACTAAAGCTCGTGTAATGGTGAATAAAACGGAAGTTATTTGGGACGTTCGAAAGAGAATATCGTAAATATTGATTCACGTAATAAATTCTAATTGTCTACGTTGCACGGTAAAATACAATCTTAAACCGCTTTCGATATTAAGAAATACACTTCCCCAAATATACCGAATATTGAAAATGAGTATTTTAATTTGATACGTTAGACCTGGGAACACTGAAATCCCATTTGCGTGACACCGATCGATACCCGCCGGCTGGTGTACGTCACGTATACGTGACACCGGCCGTCAAAGCGTTAAAGAGTAATTCGAAAATGGAACTAATTTCCTACGACGATGATTCCATTCGATGGAGAAGTAACAAATCGAAATTACTGGAGCTTCATTAAAGTTGTTAACTGCCGAACAACGAACTTCGAGTTCATATAAAATCAAATACGTTCAGTCGAATGATAACCGAACTGAGGAAACTAAATAATAAAGGAAAGAATTCACAGACAAAATCACGCAGTAGTTTAATTAGAAATCCTAAACTCTGAAGTAATGCAATTACAATTTAAATCTGATTGGATCTATAATTCACTTCATTAGCAAAATGGTCCGCCACTTGGAAAACCAATAATAAATCTTTCAAAATCGCCTTATTACCATCATCGTCGCTCGATGAATTCATTAAACATTAATCAACTACGAGAACCGATAAGGGGTCTTTCAAAATTTCCTTGCCGTTACAATTATTTCGCAACGCTATCTTGAACGAGCAACACAAGCAATGATTTACGACGAGCCAGCCACGATGGCTGTTCGAAGAAATTCACCGGAAGTTCACGCAACGTGTCACAAACCGACGACCAACTTTATACCTACGTATGTATCGGTGAAGGCATTTTCTAAACTCGCAAACTAGTTCGCGGTGAGCGCGTTTCAAGGTTTACGCTGCGTCGTCGCTAATCACGGTTTACCACCTTCGTCGGCGACTTTGAAATAAGTTCGCTGGAGAACGTCTTTGTTAACGCGGAAAGTTGACCGCATTGACACCCGCGCCCGCGCAACCCCGGTTTCCGTAGAACTTCGGAACTTCCCCGTGACTATTCGAGTCGGATTCGTCGAAACGTTCTTAATAATGCGAAAATCGTTATCCGCCCCCCTCCCTCGCGGCGAGATTTTTTATCCGACGCTGAACTCCGAAAGGATTCGACGTTATTCGCGAACAAATCGAATCCGAACATTATTACGTGAATGAACGTTTACGATATTTTCTTTCGATTGTAGCGAATAATTTTCGTTTCATTAACTATTGGACGAAGCTTTAGTGAATTATTGAACGTGCAATTATAAATTGTTATCTAACGTACAATTCTGGGTAGCAACAAGATCCTTAGGAACGTTGACTATAATATTTGTACATCAGATTATAATACATTAGAAAATTATTGTACCACTGGAATTTTTCGAAGTCTAATTACTGAGAAATGATGGTCGAGGAATTCTATTATCATTGCCGCGGTATCCGAATGTAGATATATGTCTTGAAGTTGTCCATTGTTTGATTCCACGCGTTTGTGATTTGTAACCAGAGAATTCTTTATCCGCGCTTTAAATGTAACGAACGTTTCGTTTTCATTGTATCCGTGAAATCGATTTTCTTGTCATATATTTCATGGCGTTAATGAATAATACTTACATAAAAAAGAAAGAACACCGTGAATTATCGCCCTTTTTCACACTATAATTTTACACGTACGCGTGTACACGTGTGTGTATATATATATACGGTTGTGCAACCGCGATCAAGACGCCAGTTCATTTTTCAAGCCGAACAATGGGGAGCAAAATAACCGGTGGAAGGGTACAGTTCCAACTATTCGCGGAAAATGGAAAAGAACGCGCCGTGTTTAGTCGAAACGTGCACGGTACTTGCGCGAGAGAAGAAAAATTAGAAAACGGTAGACGCGAAGAGTAATTCGAAACGAGCGGAAATTTATAAATAAAACATGCGACGCCGGTGAATTATGTTATCCGTCGTTAAAGCTGTAATTCCCGTTATTGTTCTGTCCGGAGTTAAAGAAAACGGAGAGAGAATCAGGTAATAAATGAAAACCACGAGCATCGACTAAAAAAGTGTGTACATTTGAAACGAAATAATCAGATAAGAATATTTCCAAGGTGAACGGAAGTACGTTCGCGGCGGAATTTATCGTTGCAAAGAGAAGGAAGTTTTACGAGGAATTTTAAGAGAGCCGATTTGCAGGATTTCTCTCTGTTATCCGTGGATAATCTGAGTTCGATTGATTGAGAATTACCGGGAGATATAGAAAAAAGATGATCGAATACTCACATATGACGCTGAGATGGGCATTGGCACGGATCGCTTTAATGCGCGAATACGGGCCAACTTGGCACTGGTATTCGCCGTCATCGGTCAAAGAAGCGTCTGCGATCTTCAGATTGTAGATACCAGCGTTTTGATCGCCTATTAATCTCAGTCTAGGGTGACCGATGATTTCTCCACCTGGTACAAAAAAAACAATGTTGATTAACACTAAGCCTATCGAGCAGTTAAACAGACTTATGGAAATTCCTCTATAGAAACTTTAAGAGTGCATCTATTAGGACTCTAATTGATTTAAATTTCAGTTTGCGTATTGCTACATTAATTTCTTTAACAATTTCTCAGAGAAACATCTGTTATCTCTTTAACAACTTGTAAAAATTACGAATTTTCATTTGAATATTCTAGTTTCTGAATGACAAGTTTCGAGAGTTGACTTCTAGTAAAAATTCATGTGATCGAGATAATATGATTTGCCCGGGAAATGCTGTAAATAGGGCACCCTCTTTCCAAGAATATTATCTATTACTTGATTATAGTTACCATTAAGAGTAATTCGATAAACGAAACGGGAGCGTTCTGAAATTCAGCATTTTTATATTATCCATTTTGTCCCTTTATTTTCTCAGAAGCACGATCTCTTTATTTAATGAGGATGGAAAAAGAGGTGGTTCCGATCAATGGGAAAATAGCAGGGAAGAACAATCGCTGACTGGGATTCAGGTCTGTTCCCTTTATGGCGGACATGGAAGTTGTTACATTCATAACGAGGAAAATTGAAAAAGGGTATTATTCCGGCTTAAACGCTTTTGTAAGGTATTATATTAATACTCCCGCGTAGGTTGGGTTGGTTTATTTGCATTAAAGATAACTCCCTTTCAGGTAAAGCGATTCTATTCAAGCATCATTGACGGGAAGACAAATGACGATTAATGTATGCGAGTTTTCCTGACGCCAATGAAACATTAGTACATAGAACAGAACATTTAAAAAGAGATTCCAACATAAATAATCTTTTACATCTTCATCTTGTTCAATTCGAATCTTAACTCCATTTACCTTCCGCTTCCTAGAGAATATTTATTGAAGAAGTCTTTATTTATACTTGACCTTAGAATGTATATAAATGTTTCCTGATCGTTGTATTATCTTCTATACAATTCCTCTCTCCAACTTCTACTTTTTCAAATTTATTGGTAACATTCTTCGATCGCATCACATTTCACATTAATTCTCTATTGGAGGATCAAGAAATTTTCAGAGAATCAATTTGAAAATTGCATACGAATATTCGTTAATAAATTCGATTATTTTTATAACACGTTTTCCGCACGTTTCGAGCAGCGTCGAAAGCAGCGACGCTAAAACATCCTTTCTAACAGCCACCATGGAACATTATGATTTTTCGATACAGATGAGAGCAAATGCTCGCGATAAAAGGTCGAGGCGCGCGCAGAAAAAAAACATTACAACCGGGATGTATTAAGGCCGTATCATAACTCAAAGACAGACCGTAAACTAAACGAACGTGTATAGTTTCTATAAAGGGTGGGGACACATGTTCGCCGTAATGTACCGCCCTACCTAACACCACTTGCTTTTTGATAAAACCAGTGATGCGTGCAGCATCGATAGGGACGGCTCGTTTCATGGCAGACGGTACCCAGTGTCAACCTTGGCCCCCCAACTAAAAATTTACCCAGACGCGACAAACATTTGCTAATCGAACCGCTAATGACCTGCTACGCCCGGCTATCGATCAACAAATTATCGCAAATAAAAGGAGTAGAGCAATCGATATTGCAACGACTAGATTATTTCGTTCAACGATAGACATCGCTTAACACTAAAACTACCAGACCAATGAAAATGATCCATTCCTGATTTCTCATTTTTGTAATTATTAACACGATGAATGCCACGCGATTGCATAGATCGAAGTACAGAAAATGGAAGGAAATATAATATTAAATCGTTTGATTGAATCGCATTATTGTTATTGTGCGATAATCTAGCTGAATGTCACCGTATTAGGTAGCATTATTTATAATCTAGAAATGTTTGCAAATAATCATCGTTTAATTGAGTGAATACTAGTAATTCGATTCGGTTGGAGGTCGTCGGTGACACACATGGCATTCAACGCATTAAAAAGGTAACAGATGTTTCTCTGAGAAATTAATAATGAAATTGGGTTAGCAATACGCGAACTGATTTGTGAATCAATTAAAGTCTCGATAGGTGCACCCTTCGAGTTTCTACAGAGGAATTTCGAAAAATCAATTTAACTGCTCGGTAGTATTATGTACAATGTTCCGAAATGTATCGTGAAATTAATTTTCTCTCGCTCTTCACAGATATAAAAATATATAGATTAAGCAATAGATAGATTTGAATAGAAGGAGAAGATAGAATGGAACATTTTCAAAGAAATTTTAAATATAAATACGTGTCAGAAATATTGAATCATTTGCGACAATTACTAATACTATTTCTAGTAAAGTAAGATTCATTATTCATTAAATAAATGATCTAGTAGCTTTCTACGTCGTCTTTATTCGCAGGTTACTGTAACGGTGTCAAACTTTTCGTAAACTGACCTTCTCAACTGTAATTTCGAGCTTTAGTGTTTCTAATTACGCGGGATCCCGGCGTGATATCCGAAAATTTGGGTTACTGGGAGCCAAAAAAAAAAGATACGCCTAATAAAGGCTTCGATAGTCGAGGGTCTAATTATCCTTCTTTTGTGCGGCTGTCAGGCCCTATGAGATTGCCGGAGCGACCGAATGCGAATCAAACACGACGAACGTGAAAACCGTGACACTGACGAGGGTTGTAGCTTTTGTGGATCGCGGCGCTTTTGTTGAAAAATGATGATACGCGGGACCCGGCGAAAGAGATAGCACCGTTCCAGCGAAAAAAAAAAATTCTTATCGATCGTCGAAGGGATTATAAGGAGGTTCGGCCGCTTCATTTATATCGCGAGTACTAACAGCGTCCCCTTTGAACCCCGGGAAATGAACTTATTTAACGAAGTTCCGAAGAATCTGTAATAAGAGGCGGGAAATCCGGCGGGTATTCTTCGTAGTTTCGTTACATCTTGCATTCATTCCGCCTGGAGGTATTTCCGCGAGACCGAGGAAAGTTGATAATTACTTATGATCTATGCTAAATTTATACGAACTGTTTCGAACTTCGCGTCCGACGTAAGTCACAAAATTGTGCAAGTCGAATGACCCATTGTTCGGAATTGTCATACGTATATTCAATCATTTGAAATCAAGAGATTATTTAGAAACGATCAATATTTATTACTTGTTTCAGTTAAGTATTATATTTTTCCTGTATCGTAATTGACGGTCTGTTCATTGTTTCCACGATAACCTAATATTCTACTTTCTAAAGGAAAGGATACTTTAGAAGAGATTTTACTTAACACATGGCGTACTGGTAACGAGAAATCTCGTTTTTATATAAAGACATTTAGCTATGCAACTTCGCTAATTGCCACAGTATTGAAAAAAATATAAAATTTAATTCGAATTGATTATCTATTTAAAATATATTACGTAACAATACGATATCTGAGTTTTTCTATGTATAGTGATATAAGTTGACCTCGGTGAAAATTGCCACCGGCACAATTCAGTTTTCTGAAAATTAGCCGGTACTCAACGTGTTAAGAACTTAGTACACTGTTATTATAAAACAAATAATACGAAACTCTGATGTACTTACTCTGTTGTATGACGTATGCAAAGCCATCTTTGACCCACTGCACAATGCCGTATCTGTTCTCGACCTCGCAAGATATCGTAACCTCTCCACCTTCGAGGACAGAACTGTTCTGTGGTCTGACTCGGAAATACTGGCTCCCTTCACCTGGAACACATTGGGAAAAGAGTATTAAATCTAATTCTCTTAACGAGCAACGATGAACAATATTTTGTACTCGACAACAGTGTACTGAATGTCTCAATATTCCAATGACTTTTTCAAAGAACTAATCACACGAGCATTCACATAAGCGCAAGATGCGAAGACAGTTCGTTCCAATACAAGAATGCTCGAAACAAATTATTACATCCCGACACCAGCACGATAATGTGTCAACAGGTTAATCACCGAGCCATCGACACTCGCATAAAAAAATAATTCGAGCCGTACACCCTCTCCGCGGGAAGATCAACGAAAAATGTGTCGACAGGTTAATCAGAAAATCATCAGCGCTTAAAAGAAAAATCCTAGCGGTTCAGTCTCTAGTTGCGCTCTCTACGATCCGCTCGAGTAAGATCAACCGAAATCGTGTCAACAGGTTAACTACATAATCATCGACACTCGTATAAAGGAAAAATTCGAGCGATTTATCCTGTAGTTGCGCGAGCGCTTCACGATTCGCTCGAACAGCGTCAACCCTTCAGCATTGGCAAGCCACCCTCGCTGCCAACTGAACCCGGTTCCCCTCGAGTTCGCTCGAATTGACAGGCACAACGGCGACAAGATGAAAGACAAAATCTCGACGGAAGATCAGCGTAATCTGCTTGTCTGCCGGCGATGGAACCGATGCTCTCCGCTCTGCTTGGCCCGCTCTCCTCGTCCGTCACAAGCCTCTCCGTCCAACCCCGCTAAACTCTGTACTGTGTACCTGCGGCGGGGGTTACACGTTTGCCTTTGTACAGCCGTACGCGTTCGTGGTCACTTGCTGCACGAATTTGCACAATCCACAGCCTAAATACAGCATCGATGAAATATACAGGCGCGCGTCTGCCTCGCGTTTCATGCCAGCCGGCAAACAACCACCGTTGCTCCGACCCTCTCGCATTCGGCTGCGTACCGCCGCTGCGCCGGCCCTTTAACCAGATAAATTTAACGCGTCCGTGAACGCGAAGGCGTGGCAGTCACGGGACCCGACGCGAAGAATTGATTACGGTCGTTTCTTCCAGCCCGATGTTCCCTATCTCCTCTTTTGTGTTATCGTATTGGATTTAGGCGTTTGTTTAGAACTGCGCAGTCGAGAGGACTGAGCAACTCTTCAGAGGGAATTTCACCGATTTCACTAATGCGGCAGCATTTCGCGGTGTTTTATTGGATACCGGCGGTTGCGTGGAATCGCGCGATTGAGAAGAATGAGGAGTCCGAGGGAAAATTTGTGAAATTCGAACGGTACAGTAGTATTTTGCCCGTTCGATTTACGCGTTTGTAGAGAATTGCGGATTTGGGAAGAATCAGGAGGTTAATAATGATCATTTATAAATTTCTTTCGGATTATTGTTTCGGTAAATCTCTTTTTGGGATTAACAAGTAGCCGATTCAAGAAAAGTTGATAGTGATTTATATTCGGTATAATCTTTCAGCTTATTATTTCAGTAAATCTATTTTTGGGATTAACAAGTAGTTAATCCAAGGAAATTTGTGATGAAGGTTTACATTAAGTATAATCTGAATAAATGTTTTCAATAGAGACTCGAGCGCTGCGCTATACTGTTACATAAGTGATGTGCTTAATTTCCGTATTCATTGTTAAAGTAAATATGACAAAAGTGATTGTAAAGAGATCCGTAGTTAGTTGAAAGCGGCCACTCAAAATAGGCGTTTCATTTTTTAAGCGTTCCTAAATTGAGAGTTTAAATTAATTCTAATTACCGAAGCGATTTTTAAGAGGAGCACACGGAAAATCCAGTGAAATATTTATTAAAGAGTTCCAGTTTTTTTTTTGCACGAACGTGCGACAGCTCAAAGAGTAATTTTAGCGCGTAAAGGAAAACACTTTCAAAAACGTATTTTACGGATTTGAAGCACGTCAAAGTGGAAACTTAAAACACTCTAAGGACTTTAAAACAGAAATTCTCTGCGTGTGTTGAAACCCACCGACGAACGCGCCGCGCTCATTCAAAAGCTTTCAGCGTGGTGTATATTGAAATTATTTCAAAAGGATAACTTTAAAGTTGAAGGGTTCGAAAGAAAAACCGCGGCGCGCATTCATAATCTCGTAGATGTCACGTTCTTCGCGCGTTGCATTCGTAAAACTTTATCAATGGATCCGATAAATATTTATCACTATCGAGGGAAATCGTCGAAAAGGCCATCTTTAGCTGTGCGTAGCAAAAAAACTCGAATGTAACACGTACAAATGTTAAATTAGGTCTTATGGGGCGTGAAAAGTGACGATTCAAGTATTCACAAAATATGGATGCATTCAGACGTGCTGCATAAACTAGAGAAAATTGATATTTGGTTGAAATAAAAAGAGAGGAGGACGGTAACTCGCGGCGGATACGCCGGACAAAGCATTAAAACGAGAGTATCAACATTTAATGGGAACGTTTATGCCCCAAGCAGTCGTATCTAACTCATTTCATAACCCATTTCATCATAGGTTACGTGATCAACGGTTCTCTGCACGAGAAAGGCCGCGCGATGGATTTCAACCATTCAAGTTCTGGAGGATGCAACTGAGCACGACTCTCGTAATGTTCGAGTATCCGCACGATAATCTGCGCCACGGTTCGATAATACTCTGGACGAACTGCTCAAAACAAATTATTCGCGCAGCGTGAATTAATTAAAGAAATATGGTGATATTTAGTTTTACAGGTAACACGTGTTGCCAGCGAAATCACTAATGCATGTGGAGATTAAAGTCAGTTTATACGAATGGTAATCTAGTGTTCGAATAGTTAATAATTTCTTGTGCAGCAACTGAAGGTATAAATGTGTAACGGTGTTGTTAAAAATGCATATCGACAGCCACAAAAATGACACGAAACAAAAGATTCGTTTTTTTCACAATATTCGCTCGTTTGACGAAGAAAATTCTGGTTTTCACAATCTTCTTCTACCTTTAATTTCAAAAGACATTTAGGTGTTGCATTTCTCGTCATTTGCCACGTCTTATATTATACTTTTTTTCATTGCTTCAAGCATTTCGCCATTCACTCTGTTCGTTGTTGCGTGAAAAATTATCCTTTGAAACGTTCCGCGGAAGTCAACTTTAGTATTCCAGCAGAATTCTTTAATTTCCCTGTTCAGCTGTGCCCAAAGCAACTGCGTCAAATTCCAAATAATATAAACGGTTTCTAAAGCAGACGGGAGTATCGCAAAAAGAGAACGAACGATAAATGAGTTGCCTTTACAAAATGTTGCACCATATGGGAGAAAAGGGGCAGAAGTGGTTGCGGAAAGTTTCCGTGAGCGGTGCAAATGGAAAAAAAAATCAGTCTGAAAACAAGGTAACAGAAATTGGATGAGAGAACTTCATGTTCACATAATTAGAATTAAACGATTGCCACAAACGGGCTGGAAAGTGGCACTTTCTTCGCAAACTTTTTTTCATGGGAACGAGAACAGTAAATGGTATCAATTTTTACGCGCGCAATTATTACCGTTCAGAAAGCAACAGGATAGTTTTTTAATTAAACTTTACCAGTTTCCTACTGTGCATTCTTGAAGTGTGTAAAACACAAGCATTAAGAAAAAAAAAATCAACTTTTTAGACTTGACAGAGTGAAACATAGAAAAATCCGACTCTACTCGAACAAATATGATTATCACTCGTTTCATCGAATCTGAACAAATTCAAAATGAAATCAACAAAGAAATAATACAGTCTCTAAATTAACCATCCCCCAAACGGTATATAACATGGATGAGCAAAATTCTCGCTCAATAACATTCGAAAGTGTGTGATCAGTGACCATTTCGGTTTACAAAGAACCGGTGTGATTTCGAGTTAATTACAACGGTGACCGGTGGGGGTGAGAAGCGGATCGGTGTCCGGCCGCGGTTTATTTTCACCCCGAGGGAGAAAAAACAAGGACCACAGTTTCGGTTTCTTCGTTCCTCTTTCGCGTCGGTGGAAGATAAAGGGCAAAGGTTAACGATGCAGAGGAAAATTACGCGATACGCGCGAATAGATCTGTCAGGGGTTGAACCCTTTACATCTGTAGAACGTCTGTGAGACCGTTCCAAATTTTCACTCATCACTATCCCCTTCATTGCATGGTTTCTGATCTTCGTATATCGTTAATCTTTCAATTAGAGTATAACGTTCAATTACTAAAATAAATAAACGAGTGCAATTAATATTACCGTGAAATTGTTTATACTAGTTGCACATGTTCAATTACTAAAATAAGTGAACGACTGCAAACAACAATATGTCGTGAAATTTCTGCAAGGTCTTCCATAAAAACTACACAAATTTCCTCGATTACAATCCAATGTTGAATTACTCGAATAAATATACAACCGCAATAAATACCGGGGGTTCGTGAGCTTTTTGCTAGTTTTTTGTTCGGCAAGCTAGAACGTCTATAGCCAAGGGTTAATCGACGACAACGCCATGCAGGATCGGAAGGCTCGGCGCGGCTCGAAAGGAATAAATATCGGCGTCGACGACCGATCCCAGCGTCGGTGCGCAAATCCGTCGAATGAATTATACGATTATCGGCTTTGCGACTTTTTATTAGTCAACTCTCTCCTCGACGCGCTGACGGGTCGAAGCTTTCGCGAATGACCCCGGCCGTTTTAATAATTGCACGCCGTTTCGCGCGACACCCTATCTTCCCGCGTAGACGACCTCGCTTCAGGATTAATCCTTTCGCAGTTTAATTCGATATTGACTGCGCTCGCTGCGCCGGACACTGTCCCGACCGACACACTTCTCTATACGAGCCGCTGGACTTGATTATTCCACGAACGCGTCGTTTTTGCACGTTCTTTGCGATTTCGCTACTTATACGAGCCTACGGTTTCTTTTCTCATCGAATTACATCAGTCCTTTTGCATCAATGGAATTATATACTTAAGCTCGTTTTTGTTCTTCAATGTTCGATACTACTGAACAGAAGAACGTGGAAGTGCAATGAATCTATTATATACGA